GCAGGGGTTGTGTCTGGATAATATTCCGGTACAAGAACAATGTGGTTGAGGAATTTGAAGGGGGGGCAGGGTGTTACAAGATCAGTCTAAAGTGGTAGCCACTCACACTGATCCATAAAGCAGACATTGTGGGACAAGGTGGTTTCAGCACTTAACTTTATAGCAGAGGCTAGGTCGCTGTGGCTGCCTAGAGCTTGCAAGTTCCCTCACTAGGTCCCTGCACTTACAATGATTCTTTGTACAAGTCATCACAATTGGGTTCAAAGAAATATTTCTGTGGATGACCTCGATCATATGGAGCATTACAGACCTTGGAATGGTGGAATGATGCCCATAAAATATTCAGTTAAGAACTCCATGGGACCTCCATGATGGGTTTAGAATTGAAGCCAAAGGCCCAGGTGGACTCTGCAAAAGAAGCCCTGAAATCAGTCTGCAGCATTAGGCAACCACAACTAATATTGTACTTGGGCCAATCACAGTGTGCTTCCAAGCATAGACAAGGACCACCCCATGCCCATAACAGTTTCAATGTAAACACAGTCCTTTCATGACTGGAAGCCCCCAAGCAATGCGAAACTCATCACATTACACAAGTGCACCCAAGGCCACACAGAGAGCTAAGAAATCACAAAGATGTGTCTCAAGTCAACATCAATCATGAGAACTCTCAGAACATTAAGGAGACTCAAGACTGAAGATGAGCTGTAGGAAGCTTATGTCCAAGTCATGAGAAACAGGGATACCACCGGGTCAAGCGTTGTTGAGAGTGGCAATTCAGTCTTATTTGGTGAGTAACTTACCAGCATGTTGTCCCTGAGTATGACATTACTGCCTTGCACCTTGTCACTAGCAAGAAAGAAGACCCGGTCTGATCTCATACTTACAGTGACTCCTGAGAGATGTCTACATAGGAAATATCTTCTATTCCATTTATGGACTTTGGCTGGGTTTATATTTATTTGTGTATGTTTACTTTTGTCTGTCAATACAGGGTATTGAATGTAGGGCCTGCTACATGGTAGATATATGTTACCACTTGGCTATATTTCCAGCCTTCTCCATTGATATTTTCTTTTGACTCAAAGTCTCAGGACCCTATACAGGCTCTCCTTGAACTCAGTCTGTAGCTCTACCTTACAGCAGGTGATCCTCCTGCCTCAGACTCCCACTAGCTGGGATTACAGGCCTCCACCAACAGGCTTTTGTCTTCATTTGTATTTGAAGACAAGGACTTGGGCAAATTTCTTCTTCCAAGAGAAGAATTGAACAGTACAGTTTCTCCCCAATGGCCATTACTTATCTGCACTGGCTTTTTAGCTTCATTTAGCCTGTATGCTTCATGGTGTCTTGAAAATCGGCAACTAAGTTTTTTTTGTCTGCAATAGGAAGTCTCAGGGTATGAAAATGCACTGACCACGGTGCAGGAGAGGGCAGATCCTCAGGATTGTAACAGTAAGGAACTCTCACACAAGTCAAGAAGGCTTTCTGCACCTGGTCCACATCAAACCTCTTAAGAAAACTTGAAGAAAAGCCAAAAGAACAAATGAGGAACTAAAACCCATCTTGGGAAGAATTCTGACTGTTCCCTCTCTAGTCATGGTTAACAAGGTTAACTATTTATTCTTTTGAGAAATCAACCTGACCATAATCCCCAAGATTGGTCCCAAGCAGAACAGGATGAGAAAATAGTCGTTAATAAAAGTAAGTTCTGAAATTTCCCTCACTTGGTGGGAACTCAAGAGATCTCAGGACACATCCCTCACAGGATATGGGGAAAATGATAATGATGCAGAAAATGGCATAGGAGTTCACCAAATCCTTCAAAAGTTAGGGTTTTCTGGAGACCTCAAAGTGACCTTGCATCAGTCTGTCCTGTGATGTGGTCAAGTAGACAGAAAGGGACTCTCCAGAGGGAATGATCTACTGGTTGTGTTGATCTGCAGCAGGGACCACGAGCAAGCAAGGAAGGACAAGAGGACTGTGATATCATACAGGTGACTGTCACGTGTCTCAAGTGCAGAACCACAAACAGAAACCAATGCCGTCTGTCAGTGGATCAACCAAGGAACCTCACAATTATGGAAGTGATATGAAATCTTGGGGAAGTACATAAACAACTCCTCTGCTCATTAGGACGTGACCAGGGGTCATTCCATGGGTACAAACATGGCCACCAGACAGTTTGTCCCTCAAACTCCTTCTGGTTTAACTTCAGGCAAAATATCTGTCTGGTCTATGGCCATGAATACCCAAGGTCATCATGGCTAGAGATGATGAAAGGATCCGTGCATTGAGCAGTAGTCATGAATGTAAAACCATCAGGACAATGTGGGTTTCAGGACAAAGCTCTTAATGTGGAGATGGAGAGAGTAAAGTCAGGGAGAGAGAGAGAGAGAGAGAGAGAGAGAGAGAGAGAGAGAGAGAGAGAGAGAGAGAGAGAGAGAGAGAGCAGAGAGTGAGGAGGAGACAGAGAAGCAGAGAGGTGGAAGGGAGGAAGAGAGAGAGATACTGTTCCTTGGTCTCAGGTCCACTGAATATGGTCATCATGACCTCAGCAGCCTTAAATACTGTTGAGTGGCACAATGCAATGAGTGGACAGCACCAGAAGCTTCTAGAATTAACCAGCCTTTCCTAAAACAGCCCACTTGCATTAGTGCAAAGGGAGCTTGTACTAAGTTGAAGATACCTGGTTTTCAATGCTGGAGTTTTCTCTCCAGTTGTGTGTCTTATGCTGCTCATGGACTTTTGTCACATTCTTCAGGATCTGATTGCACAGGTGGATGACTTGGCAGCAATTTCCCTCCCTGCGTGTGACTTCTAGCCTCAACAGGGGTGCTGGGAGGAGCTCACTGGAGTTTGAGCCCGTACTGGGTTGTTCCAAAAGTCAGTTAGGTCCTTAATCTCTGATCACAAACCCCGTATCATGCCTGGCAAAATATTCTTCCCTTTCTGTAGGTACTAGACTCCAGTAGAAAAGGGTCGCTTCTCTCCATTGCCAGTCTTAGAAAATACTTTACATTACAGGAAGGATGGCTGTGGAGGGCAGGCTTACACCATTTCAATAAAGTCTTGGAAGCTGTTAGGACATAGGCTGGTGATAAACAGCTAAATAACATGCAAAAGACAGTAAGGGGGTGGCACAATGTATTTACCAGGACAAGAGATTCAGACTCTTGGAGGAGGCAGATTTGCAGGAGTTAGGGTCCAGCTGGAGGTACACAGTCATTCCAGTAAAGGCTAGGTCACATATGGAGAGCCTGACTTTACAAACAAATACAAACAAATGTTTAAGAAAGGCCAGACGTGATGGCACAAGCAATCCAACCTAGCAAACAGGAGGCAGAAGCAAACTGACCTGCTTGTGTTCCAGGCAAGCCTGTTATACATAGGGTTCTGGCCCAGCTCTGGTCAAATGTGAAATGAGAGAGTTTTTCAAGAGGGCAGAGGACTACTTCCTGGAGTCTGTTCTTTTTCCATCACGGGACTGCAAGGGATGGTACCCAGATTGTTAAGCTAGTTGACAAGCACCTTCCCCCAAGGTATCTCGCCTGCATGACTGATAGTGGTTCAAACCCAGGTGGGCAGCCCTCCATAGATCTCACCCTGCACTGCTCTCCTTAGGTGCTCCTGAATTGTGCTGCATGCATGCAGTTTCAGAATGCAGGTTCTTTCTGCGCTTTATTATTTGGCTTTTGTGCCTCACTCTTAAAGAGAAATTGTTATCCGAGTGTCTATTCACTGTCCACAGCCAAGAACACTAACATCCTCTCCTGAAGACTTGCTTCTCCCACTTGGGAAACATTAGCCATAACACAAGTCCTTTGTGTGGCATGTGGTTCCCTTCATAGAGAGCTTGTGTAGCAAATAGACCAAGCCTCTCCTCTGTAAATGTGAAAACTATGTAACCCTCACAGCTACAGGGCAGATGGAATTGATGCCTTCTGGTTCCTTGATCACTGACCTGATCATTGAGAAAACAAGGGCATTAAGGAAGGGAGTCCCTGAACAGGCTGGTTGGCTGTTGATATGACTATTCATGGGGACAGGTCCATCACTAAATGGCATTGTCTGTTTCTTGTAATGGCACCTCAGTTCACTCATCATAAGCCGCATTAATTGTGCTGATGGTTTTACCATTCCTGGGGTCTGCCATAGGCTGAGCAGGCACTGTTCCACTGGCCCACCCTGCCCCAAACAACTGCACTGATATTGATGGTGTGAGATGCCCTCATCCGCGTGAAAGACGTTTTATACAAGGAACAATCATCCCACCCAGCTTTTCAACAGCTCTTTAGTCAGATATTGTGTGCAGTAGCTTAGACTTTATCAACATTACACATCATGGATGGAACTGTAAGAAACAATACAGAAGCCGTTCATATCTAGAGTTTGCACTTAATCTCTGACAGAATTACAAGTGCTCTCCACAAAGTCTGACGGGCACACAAAGGGGCATTAAGGGAAGAAGTCTTCTCACTCGGAATGTGGAGTGCATTTACCAGAGCCAGGCTTCACGTTCACAACTGCAGAGGCTGGCATTTGCACCATGATAGGTAGAAAATCTCCCTTCTGAGGAGCTGCCCTGCCAATCATTTCAGAATGAGAACAAGCCCCATTCTCCCTCTAATCAATGCTCATTACCGCTATGGTGTTGGCTTATTTGCTGCTGTTGTTTGTTCTTTCATGTTTTAAGGGGAAGTACACATTCTTTTATGGGCCTTAGCTTCTCAGAAGGAGGGGTCCCATTGTACAAGGACATTTAACCTGGAGACCCTAAATGAGTGACTTGGAACCCAACTTGAATGGGATAAACAAGCCATTCAGTATCAGGAGAAATCCTCATGCTGCTATTTAAACATGAATTGGACACCAGACTTGACAGAAAACATATCAAACTGTCACGAATGACCCTCTGAAATCGTAGCGGTGGAGCAAAACAGCAAGAGTACAAATGCCCATTGACTCTTACTGAAAATACAGACAAAAGCCAAGACTGCTTTGTGGGAATGTCATTGCTTTTTATAAACAAGGGAGGAGGAGCACCCAGGTCATCACGTCGGTGACTGTCCTCTCTGCTGTAGGCTGTAGAAATGGGCCTCCTTCAAGATCTGGTTAATGTGGGAGTAAGGACCTTGGCCTTGGCACAGTGCATAGTCCTCGTGTGAGAACTCGGGGATAGTGGAGTATAGTTCAGCAATGTTCTGGTTTAAGCTGCTTTCTGGTACACTTCCTCGTACTGGGATATTGATGCTGCTGTGGTTTCTTTCATTAGCACTGCTTGATGACTGGAAGGAGAAAGACAGAAGGAGGATGGCTATTATGATACTGTCATCATTTCCTGTTCAGCTTGAAGAATACTGGCTTCACGCTTTACAAAAGGCTCCACAGTCTATGAAGTGCAAACACTTGGGTAGCTCCTTCCCTCCTGACAGCAGCGCTATCACACAAACTGGGGTTAATGGCACCCATTTGACAGAACAGGAAAGAGATGTTTTACAACCCAAAGGCAAGACTTTGGGAATGTCTGTTTGAAACCTCCAAAACCCTTCATATATCCTCTGACCCTATGGCACCATGCATTTTAATTACCTGAACCAGGGAAGTAAGCTCCCAACAGCCAGGACAAAGCAGCAATCAATGTTGCATAATGTGATAGGGATAAAGGATTAAAATGGAATGCAAGCCCAAGTCCCAATGTGGCAATGAAATGACGGGGAAAGCTCTACTTACACAGACATGCACATGTGCACATGTGTATACATACCAATAACAGGATCTTTCCATGCCTATCCCCGAGAGTGGACATATGTGCACGCCTTATGACAATACAAGCAAGGTTCCACTCATACTTTGAAATGATTTTGATATTTGTTAATGAGAACTGTAAGCCATCAGCCAGCATTTCTGATGATTAACACAGACTGGTCCCCAATAGTGGTTTTAGTGTAGTTTGCATATGGTAAGGGTGATCTCAATATTGTCTTTCCTGATGTAGCTGCACTCTGTCATATTGGTGATATCATGTGGGATCCCACCCAAAGAGCCATATTCTGGGGTTCTGTAAATGAGGGATACAACTCAGTGGTAGAGTGCTTTTCTCACATGCATGGGACCTTGGGCTTCATCTCCTTGGGTATAGGAACACACACTCATGAAATTTTTGCCTCTAATCTTAAGACTATCAAAGGAAGAGGAGATGATCACACTGACCCCTATGTGATCAGAAATGTTGAATACTATTGGTATCCTATGTCTATAAGGTCATCTTTCCTGATGATAGCTGTAATAATGACAGAAAACAACATGTGCCATCATTCTCTGGTCATGTGGAACTGCTCAGCCACTACATCACCTACAGGTATCCAATGAGTATTTATGCAATGAGATTCATGCACTCAAAGACTGTACATCAGAGACACAGAAGTCAGATGCATCTGTGGGTGAATAACCATCAAATAGCTACCAATGGACTTTGGTGCTACGCTTGTGAAAGAGGTCAAGAGGAATCCAAAGAAAGTATGCTCCTTATAAGGCCTCTAATCTAAAAATTTAGATGTAGCAATTTTACTATGTGGTTTCTTTATAAACACGCAAACCCAGGCAATGGATCACTTTGGATAAAAACACCCAGTACACACTCTGGTTTCTGTGAGGTAGATTTCCTTTCTTGGTTGTTTCATGTGTTTTTTTTTTAATGGAAAGCAGGGTAATCATCACAAATGGAAGCATTTTACTTTGCACTCTGTGTCAGGAAGATGATAGTATCATAAAAAGGCTGGATATATTACACCGAGGGGCTCTGGGGATATGGTGACAACAGTGGAGAGCTTGCCTAGCACACAGAATGCACTGGGTTTGAGCCCAGTTCAGCATTACATGTGCTGAGCAGTACTTCTGTAGAACCAGGAGGACTGTGGAGGATTAGAATGCTAAGGCTATGATGATCTATAGTAACATGGGCAAGTTGTGGTTTACCTTAGTTACCTGAGACCCTGCCTGTGAAAACTCACAGGAAACCTCTCGGTTTCTAATTTCTAGCTGGTGTATAAAATTTTTACTTCAGTTGTGTAGTGGCATCACTATTACAGTAATGCTCATTGTACAACTTAAGCATCTGGGATATTAACAACCAAAAACCAGTAAAGAGTTTTTATAAGGGAAGTAACTGCCAGGTCAGATGAGCACATACCTGTAATACCAGGACTTCTGAGGGTGAAGAAGGAGGATCTAGAGGACAGTCTGGGCTACATAGGAGCTCCAGGACAGCCCCAGATATCTATCAAGAAGCTTCCAAAACAAAAACCCAGACAGATGAACAGGCAAACACACAAAAACAAAGTAAGAGTGAAAAAGAGGTGGCAGGGAGGAGGCAGAAATCTTTAATAAATAAATTAATTAATTAAAAAAAGAGAATGGAGAAGGAAATTCAACTAATATAAACAATACATCATCTATTCATAGTCTTCAGACAATATCAGTTGTGCTTTTCCTAAAAAAGGAATGATATTCTTGATTGCTTATGGGATGACTATATTTCCCAAATCCTTTGAAAAACTTAAAGTGTAGTTAATAAATGTCAACATTACGTATTGGTTGGAAAAATTCTCATGTTGTCTTAGATTTTTCCATTGTTGTGATGAAACCATGACCAAGGCAACTTACAAAAGTGAAATGCAAAGCTTCAGAGGTCAGTCAGCGACCAAGACCACCATGGGGGCTACATGGCAGCAGTAGGGTAGACACAGTGCTGGAACAAGTTCTGAGAGAGCTTGACATACAACCAGGAGAGAGGAAGGGAGGGAGGGAAAGAGGGAAGGAGGAAGGGAGGAAGGGAGAAAAGAAGAAAAGGAGAAAGGGAAGGACAGAGACAGAAAGAGAGGTAGGATGGGCATGTCATGGGGCTTGAAACCTCAAAGCCCACCCATATAGTGACATACCTCCTAATCCTTCCCAAGTGGATTTAGGACTGAAGATTGAGCACATAAATATATGAGTCCATTGGGGCTATTCTTACTCAAACCACCACATGCTCGTACAGTTTGAGATGGGAAACCATTGCTTCTACTTTTGTGATATCTTCACTTTCCATCTAATCTACATCAAGTGATTCATAGGCAAAACAAAGATTCACTTTGTCAGTAACTGAAAAACAGAGTGCTACCACAATGCAATGAAAACTATTATGAGGTTTAGATCCTCCTGGCTTCAAAACAAAGATTAGAGAAATAAACTGCAATGCTAGAAAAGAGACCTTGGGAAGAGTGCTCTTATGCTACCAAGTGGCAAAGACAGACTACCTTCAGCTCCCTAGGCAGGTCTTCCACCATCCACAATGGCTATTCATCAAATCAACCATCCTCCCACATACAAAGCCTGGACTTTGTAATGTTCTTGCTGTGAGAATGGCCTTGAGGTAAATTTTTTTATTTGGAAATGTTTATAATGCAGGACCAATGGGGAATTTGTCTATTGTGTGATCGGCTTGCCCTTTTGACAGCCCAAACAGCATTCCTAGCAGAGATAGTTACACCTTCCTATAATTCAGTTTCAGAGTGAGTTAATTTCTCAGAACATGGAATGCCTGAAATATTTCAAGATCTCCAAAATTTAATTGACACATGAATGACCCTTAGCATGTTCTGACTGCTCCCAGAAAAGTATTTTCAGAATGCCCACCCATGTACAAACAACAATCCATTACGGAAAAAAGTAGAAGATTTATTTGCTGGGAGGGTGGCACATATCTTTAATCCAAGCAGATGGAAATGAGAGGCATCTGTGAATCTGATGCCAACCTGGTCTACACACTGAGATCCACACAGTGAAACCCTGTCTTGAAAACAAACAAGAGAACAAAAGAGATGGATTGATTTATATGTCCCTGGGTGTAGTCTATGTGCACCAGGAGTACTTGGGTATCTGTGCAACTCACAAGAGTGGAATTCATGCTCTTCAACTGAAGTTACAGGTGGATAAAAAAAACCCAATATGGATGTCCAAATTCTGAGAGAGAAGCTACTCATCCCAACTGATGACCCATCTCTCCAGCCACACAAAGCCCAAGCATGTTTCTCTGCACTCTCAACACACTAGAGCACTTGTTTTGGGCCCACCCCTGCAGGTCGACACACTCCATAAAATAAAAGAATATTTCAGAAGAAACTGGGGAAGAAAATTTCACCATTTAAAGTATCCAAAGGTTCTAAACAATGATGTGGCCTAGACACATGGGCAAAGGCAAGGTTATACTTTGTTGAAGACCTTAATAAAATCTGAATGTTTTCCTCAGAGTCAAGGAAGCAGTGTGGTCAGCAAAGATCTGGTACAGTTCTGTTTGAGGACAGGGCAGAGAATTGCCTGTGGGGGTTTCTTATTTACCAGGTATCTCAGAAGCCTACTCAACTGGGCTGCACTTGGGGAGAATGCTGGATATACACAGGCCTTTGCAATGCCCAATTTCTCCAAACACATGCTTGTGGATTTACTACTAGAACGGGAATCTCATCTTGTCCCCAGAGGCCCCTGAGCTGGAAATGACCTGAAAGTCTCTTTCATGAGCTCTGTACTTCATGGGGACAAACTTCCAAAAGAGGGAAGCAGCCAGCAGTCCTACCCAGCCATAATGCCTGTGAACCACAACAACCAGCATGGTAAGATAACCTTAAGGGTGTGGTAGTGGCATATGCACTAGTGGTGACCTACAAATTCTCAATCTTCAGTCCTGCTCAGGAGGAGGGAAAGCATACCTAATACAGGACACCTAGGGGTAGATATAGTATAGCAGTCTCCAGAAGCAGTAACTGCCCCTTTAAGAAGACAACATAATCCCTGACTACACTGCAAATATCTAGCCTTATATCCAGATAGAAGTGTAGTCCTCATGCAGCATGATGGAAACGTCTTCTTCTAACAGACAGAGACCATTGAAGAAAGCTACAACTAATGAAAATGCAGCACCATGGAGCCCAGTACCAACAGACACAAGGAAGAGAGTGGAAGAGGGAAAGACAAATTGCGTGAAACAGAGGATCATGAAGTTTCCTGTGAGCCAGTGTCTCCTAGGAATGTCAGAAGCTACACTCATGGTCTCACCAAAGACATGCCAAAGTGGCCAGGAAATACCCGTACACCTCACTGCTACGAAAAACAAAAATGAAAACAAACCTTTAGGCAACAAAGGGACACTGATAGCAGGAGGGAAAAAAAAGCCCACAATTTGATTATCCAGTACCAAATGCCCACTCGTGATGTGGGAGTGTCATATATCAATCTGTTGATTTCATTG